TGCGCAGCACGTGCTGAGCGCCTGAGGACACAAACTAATGCCTGGTCACCTCTGAGGGCGGCAGAAGATTGAGCAGGAGATGTCAAAAGCAAACAATTTAAAGCAACACATTTAATTAAAACCCAAATGAGAAGTTGTTGCGAGTCCAACAATTGCAGGCTGCCGAGCTCCAGCAATCTTCGGGGAAAATTAACACAAGCTGCTAATAGCAGCGTCCAATTCCACCGGCGTCTTGGATGAAAGAGTGGTGGGGGGAAGGTAGGAAATAATCTTCAGATGAAACAATTACTGATCAGCTGCGTGACAACCACAGAACGTCACCGTTCAGACGGGCAGACGCATGAAGCTTGAAAGGAAAAAAAGAAAAAGAAGCAGCCGCAGAGAGCTTCCTCCAACTCCGCCATCTCATCAGACACTCAAACCCAACACACGCTCTCGAGCGGCAATTCCACCTCCCACTGCTCTCCCGGGCTTTGCGCGGGGCGGGAGCGGGTTCGCTCTGCTCCCCCCGGCGCCTGCGAGGCCATGGCCATCCCGGGGAAAGGCGGCGGTGTTGGCAGGAGAGCTGCCGCGGACAGCGGGGGGCTCGGGGCGCACGGGGACACCGCTCCTCACCGCCGGCAACCAGCCAGCCCCCAGCCCAGCAGACAGAGGGACTACCCCATCTCCTCCAGCACGCGTCTCAGAAGAGGAGGGATGGAGGGTGCGAACGCCCTGAGATGTCTTTGATGTGACAGAAACCTGCTTTTATGCCCTTTACTTTATTTCTACTTATAAAACACAGCCCTACAAGCCCCCAGCTAAATGTAGCTCTTGCTTCCTTCTGTACGCACCGGAGGATCTCACCTACCTCTCCCACTAAAGTATCCAGATACAAACATCCACCCACACCATATATAACCTCTTCGCAGGCTGTAAAAATAGGAAGCTTTAATTGATACCATATTTCAAACTGTTGTGCAGCAAGGACATACTCCAGGCTGAGTCCTCCAGGGTACCTTTCTCCAGCCCTGCCTTCCCTGCCAGCCGCTCCCCTTGCTGCAGCTCTACTTTTTGAATGATTACTTACAAGAAAGGAAAAAAAAAGAAACCAACACAACCCACCCAACTATTGAATGTATAGAGCTGAGTGGCTCACATATTCATAAGGGGTTTTATTGCTCAGATGGAGGGGCTCTCTTTCCTTTCTTCCCCCCTTTGACGCTGCTAAGGGTCCTCTAAATAATGCTTTGTGTTTCCATATCCTCATAAAAGCCACTACGAGTCTTTCTATAAATCTGAGCCACCTCCGAAACCAGAGCGGTGCCTTCCGCTCGGCGCGGGCTGATGCTGCCCCACAACATGAAGCGCCGAAGCTGCAGAAGAGATGGCGGGATGCTCCCCCCGTTGCATCCTAAGAGATTTAGAGGCAGCGACCCGTTCCTCGGAGGCCCGGGGGCCCCCACCCCGCCCCTGCCAGCCACAGTGGCTTCTGCCCAGCTTCCCCAGGCTTGGCCGCCCCACGAAAGGAAGGCAGAGCGGCTGTACAAACCAGGCAGTAATTGCTCAGAGGGGAGAGGAGCCGGTGGGGGGGGGACCCCGTTAAATGAACAAAAGGAAGAAAACAAACTGAGAGAGAGAAAGAAGGGCGACAGAGACAGGCTGGTTATTAACACTGCTGCTTGGAATATATTCTCCCAGCTTTTGCTGCCAGTTGGCTTCTGGGCCCAGTCCTTCCCCTCCCCGTTCCCATCCTGCGACTCCAGCGGGTTCGGGAGCTTCTTTCTCTAACGCCGTTGCTGGCTGCAGAGGGGGAAAGCTGCTTTCCTCTGAGGCTGGAGACATTTGGTGGGGCTTTTTCCTCCCTCCTTTTCCCGACTTGGCTTTGGCTCCTGGCGCGCTGGAGCTGGCTGGCATCTATTTAAAGTTTCCTTCAAAGACGAGTTTGCATCTGCTAGGAGAGGGATTTCTTTCAGCCTCTGTCTTTGTTTGGCTTTTCCCGCAGAGGTGTTGGTAGCTGCTCCGCTTTAAGATTTTCCTTGGCTACCGGCATCTATTGAAATACCGCGTTTCAAAAAAGGAACGAGAGGGCACCCTTCTCCCGCACGGGAACGGCTCCAGTGAACGCACCACCCCTGCCCAACCATCACGCGAAACACAGAAGAGAAGAGCGGAGGGGAAGAGGGTATTGACGTGCACGGCAGCGTTTAGGAGACGGGGCGCGCACCCTCAGGCGCCACGCAGAGGCTGTGTTCAGACCGATCAAAGCCCCCAGCCTCAGCCGGGCCACAGCCATGAGCTCCGCTGACGAGGGGACGCCCCCGTCAACCCCCTCCCGCACCCGGGGAAAAAGCAGCTTTAAACCAGGAGCTCCCCAGGGAGGAGCAAGCCCCCTCCTTTCCATCCGCGTTAAGACCCCCGTGTGCCAAGACTCTGCAAACACATCCCGGCCACATTTTTCCCCAGCTATCATTAAAACCTCCCAAACCCGCCTCAATTCTGTAACGCCTTTAAATGTTTTATAACATTTTGCTGCCAGTTGGGCGCTGCCGTGGGATTTGGCGTTATTCAAAAAGAAGGGACAACTTTAAGAGCTTTTCTCTTCCCAGGCAAGGGGACTCCGCCATTGCATAAAATGATGAGATTTCAGTAAAAGTGATAGCCACTGCAAAACGTCTTGGCTGCTTCTATGTGAAGAATTTGACTGTTTCTCATAAAAAATATTAAAAAAGTTTTTGCAGTTTGTAATTATATTTTACAGTTTCATTACAAAGCTCATTTTAATTCTTCTCCAAACTGTTTTTACCAGTCCTCTTGCCACTTTCTCTTTAGAAAAGTCATTAAGTCAGGACTGGAGATCATCCCATTTCCCCCAGTTTCAAGGATATTAATCTGTTTTATTGGTATTTCATTGTCATTTCCATTCGAGTGTTCTCTGCATTTGCATAATTTGCATTGCCACCCCCTTCCCGGTGACAAGCACAGGCTCGGCTTTTCAATTTCATTCTACAGAGACAAACTGCATTTTGTTGTATTTTCTTTTTCGAGGACACGCTGTCTTCCCTGGGCCAGAACCGCAGGCGGGGAGCGGGATGCTGGGGTCCCATCTCCACCACTGCCTTCCTGGCTGACCTTCAGCAAGTGAAACCAGCTGTGAACTCCCAGTCCGAATGACGACCTGGCCAGTGCCGTGTCAAAGGGACATGAGTTGATGCCAGAGCAGCCTCATTTCCCAGTTTCTGTTCTCCAGCTACTCAGAATAATGACCTGTGAAGATTTCAGAATATTTATGTGCAGCCTGGACAACCCCTAAAGCTTTTCAGAAACAGGTCAAGGCGTAGACAAGTCCCATGTTCCAAGTTATGCCTTTTTCACATCTCCACTGATGCTCAGTTCCTCCAACCTGAGACCACAAAGCAGATGCTCTCCTCCTCCCTTTTTCAAGGACCAACGTTTGACGCTCGGGATAGCCTATGTTCCTGGAGATTAGGCTGCAATTCCCAGAGTCAGCGGCTAAGGAGCATCCTCAGGGATCAGAGCAGAGGTGGCCTTGCACATCAGCGCGGGGACATCGACCCACTGCACACACCACCCGTCCCACAAGGTTCGTTAGGTGCAGACATAGAAATGGGGTTAATGAGGCAGCGAGGGTGAGCGGTGGGGCTGGGGAGAGCACACGCTCTGTCGGTGCTGCAGCACAGGTAACATCCTACGAATGCACATCATGGCCAAGAAGAAACCCCTCTGAGCAGCGCTCAATCCCACTCCAAACACGCTGAGGAGTCCCTCCCTGCCACGGCGTGATGGTTTAAGCCCCTCTCCATCACCCCATGCTGCTGCTGTACCTCTTCAACCACCTACCTCTCCCCAAAATATTAATCCCCCCCCAGGAGCTGCCCTCCATCCCAGCCCCCAAAGTGGGGGGCTGTACAGGAGCTGACTGCCCCGGGACACCCCGGCAGCTGGTGATGCACCAGCTCATTGCAGCATGTTTCTGGCAGAGAAAAAGTGCCCCCTCCGCATGCCCCGAGCAGCGAGACGAGCGCAGGAGCTGAGGAATTGGAACCGACTGAATAATGGGTCCCGTCTGCTGAAAGAAAATGAAATTTGCCCTCATGTTACTGAAAACTTGCACTCGACGCTCACTGCACATTATAAAGAAAAGGTCAGTGAAACACAACAAACGCGAGGAGCCCAGTTGGAGAAAGCAATAAATAGTGACAGCAGCCCTCGTCTAATTTTTCAAAACATCTTTGCCTTTGCTCAAACCCTCACGATTTCACTCCGCACTGCTGCGAGTGGCTGGGACAGGCAGCCTGGCTGCTGCAGGACAGGAGGACGTCTGTCTCCGCAGGCTCCCAGGGCTCCCCAGTGCGTTTGGAGGAAAACAGGAATATCCATCAGATGCAATTATTACTATTAGTAGTAATAAGATAATAATAATAATAACAATAATAATAATGATTAAAAAAATACGCAATTGAGAGAATGCCTGGAGAAAATGCCTGGAGAAGAGAAGGCTCCAGGGAGACCTTACTGCGGCCTTCCAGTCCCTAAAGGGGCTACAGGAGAACTGGGGAGGGACTTTTTACTGGGGCATGGAGTGATGGGACGAGGGGGAATGGCTATAAACTGGAAGAGGGCAGGTTTAGATTAAACATTAGGAAGAAGTTTTTCACTTTGAGGGTGGTGAGGCACTGGCACAGGTTGCCCAGAGAGGTTGTTGAGGCCCCATCCCTGGAGGTGTTCAAGGCCAGGCTGGAGGTGGCCTTGGGCAACCTGGGCTGGTGGGAGGTGTCCCTGCCCAGGGCAGGGGGGTTGGAACTCGATGATCTTCAAGGTCCCTTCCTACCTAAACCATTCTATGATTTCGGCCTTAGGCTCGCAGATGTGCTTTGCTCCTCTGGGAAAGGGATCCCTGAAGCCGAACGCAGCCAGGGCAATTCCCGAAGAGGAGGACCCCCATGTCCCAAACACACCCGGTGGGACAGCGGCATCCAAGTTCCCCCGGAGGGTCTTACCATCTGCAATGAAGTGCTCGGGTACGTGAAGCGTCACCTTGACGGTCAGCGGGCAGGAGAGCTGGGAGCCGCACACCATGGCCACGACGCAGGAGCTGACCGCAATCAGGGTCAGCGCCGTCTTGTTGACGGGGCTCTTCATCGAACCTGGAAGGCAGAGAGAAGGGTGGGTGGCCAAAAGACAAAGCTGTACCAGGGATTTGCTCAGCCTGCCCCCTTCCCTGCGTGGATGCAGGAGAGCCCCAAGCCCAGGGAAAGGGCAGGCATTGCAAAGAAAGACGTCAGCTCAGTAGCACTGGAAGAGCTCCTGAGGTCTGCAAACCCCATCATTCCCATCCCACCTTGTCTGGCCGGGTTTTTAATATTCGTGTCGTTTCACTCACTGAGTTACATTTGTCTTGGGGACTATATTTTCCTAGAGGAGGGAGAAAACCTGCTTAGAGCCCTGTACAGACCCTCTCCCTGGGAACCCCCATCCCCAGAGCCATGCATTGCCCGTGCCAGGCTGCCCCGGCAAAGCCACTATCGCTTCTCATCAGCCTCGGTTCGTCTGGCAGATGTTGCCAAAAAAAAAAAAAAAAAAAATCCAGCTAAATCCAAGGGCTGCATCAACCATGGCATCATTTGCTTTCCCTTAACACCAGGAGAAATCTACACCTGTAGATGTTACACAGCACCAACGAGCGTTAATTATTTACACAAATATATATAAATATTCAGTCATCACAGGGGGACTATGCCGAACAACAAAGCGACCTACAGAGCCAGCTGCTTTTGACAGGCAGGAGACATTACAAAACAAGCTTTATTTTGTCAAGCGCAGAAGCTGGCGGCATCTCCCACAAAGCAGCACGGTATTTTCCCACACATGAAAGCCGAAGCAGGCACCACCCAGCCCGCCCGGGCCCCGCCAGGCACCGGGGCGAAGGGATGCCTGCACCGAGGAATAACCCCACGAGGCTGGAGGGATCCCATCACCCCACAGCTCCGCTCAGACCTGCACACCCGACTGCTTGGTTGGTAGCTTCAATTTGATTTCATTTTTTTCCAAAGCGTTAGGTGAAAGCCAACAAGCCAACGAGGAGCTCGAGCATCCGCAGGTGTAGAGGGGCCGGCAGCAGGTACAAACCCACCGGGAAAACTTCATGGAGCAATGTGGTGTTAAGATGACTGAATCCCTGTCAGCTACTGTTGGGTGGGACACAGCAACCCCCCAAACTCCGCAGGGAAGGGGGTGAAGCTGGGCAACACAGAGTCATCAGGAGAGACCTGGCTGCCCCAGGAGATTCGGATGCTCTCGTTGGACGCATGCAAACACGTGTCCAGATGAGACACTCTCTACTGATGGAGGTGACCAGGAGAAACCGTCCCCTGGCCACTGCTACCCATCAACAGGTCTCCACTGCCCGAGAAGGCAGCAGCCCTGGAGACCACAGCTTGGGGCACCACTGGTCCCCTGCCCGCCCAGTCCCTCCAGCGCCGGGGGCTGCCCCACCGCTGTTCCAGCTGTACCGCATCATCCACGGCCACCGAGCCCAACACCTCGCACCAGCGTTCCGTTTTGCTCGAAGCTAACGACAGCCGCCGCGCAGAGCAGCTGGTTCCCTTCTCCAGCGCTCGGGACACCGATTAAATTCCACCTGGGGAGCACGGCAATGCCAAGGAGAGGGCACAGCCCGGCAATTAACCCCACTCGCTGCACAGTCTATCACGGTGCGGCTGAGATGACGGAGCTCCTGGCAGACCTGACCCGCGTCCCTGCTCAGGATTCAGGTGAGGACAATCGATTTATTTTTGGAAGCCAATCCATCCTCTCCCTCCCGTGCTCCCCGGCCCTCGCCATTCTCATCAGCAAAGGCGGATTTCAAAAGCAGCAGGTTGAAAATTGAACGGGAAATACATCCAGCAAGTTAGCACTCGCACACCCTGTAATTGGACCGAAGCCGCTGTGAGAGATGCTGGTGCCTGGGCAGAGATCGCGCGCTGGGGCTGAGCCCACGGCACGACCTGCGTTCCCCAGGCAGGGCAGCGCGCCCCACCAAAGCATCCCTTGCCACATCCCTTGCCACCTGCCCAGTGGATGCTCCAGCCGCGGCATTTGCAGGACCGAAGTGGCTGATCTGCTGGAAAACACCCCCATCACTGCGACCAACAGGAGTATGCAAATTGATTATTTATGAAGCATCTTTTACGTTCCTTATGCATGCATCATCTAAACAGCCTTCCCACCCCTATTTCGCAGCTTTATCGCCGAACTCCTGCGCCCTTCACCTCGCCGTCCCCTTTTTTTCTTCCCAATCTTTATTCATATCATCAGCATAAGTTAGCACCTCCTCGGGAGACAAACTCATCCTCTTGCTGGGCATACCGTGCCTGCCACAAACCCTGCGTTTGCTTGGAGTTACTACACGAACACAAAAAAATAAAAAAAGAGGAGGGGGGGGGAAAGAAAAGCAAACAGAAGGAAAAAAGCCTCCATCAGGATAATTGGACACAGCCAAGAATACAATAGACCAGAGAACGCTGGATTTTACCATTATAAATCACCTTTCAATCCAGGGTCTTAAAGTGCTTTGCAAACATTAAATCACAAATCCCTTCTGAGTTAGACAAGCATTATCCCCTTTTCACAAAGAGCCCGAATCACAGGTACGATGGCAGCTCTCACCATCCTGCAGCGGAAGTGGAGCTGAGGGAATTAGGATCCAGCAGCTCCCATCTCCATCAGTCCATGTAACTTCTTCTTTCCCCGTGACTAAGAGGAGAGGGGCACAGGAGCTTGAAACAGCAAAGAAGCCCATTACAGCTCAACGAGTTTGCGCTTGGCTGCCCAAGGAGAGGGACAATGTGCTACAAGTCTCCTATAACTACCTTCTCCGCTCCCCTACCTCCCACTCCCCGCTCGTTTCCATCACGGCACTAATTATTGAACTCTGGAACTGCCTGACGTTGGCTTTGACCAACTGAACCAAAACAACTGGTCTTCTGCTTGAGCAGAAATTGGATTTCCAACTCAGCTCTTTATTGCTCACGGCCAGTTTGCTGCCAGGTTTGATGAGAGGATGTTGGAAAAGCAGATCCTCCCCTCCTTCTTTAAAGAGAGGGACATGGCTCCTGTTCTCCATCCCACTGCCTGCTCTTCAGACCACCGATGCTCCAGCAGAAGCACTCCCGCACTGCATTTAAACACCCGTCTGGAGGTAAAGAGCTTCATGCCAGGCCTCTAAAACCACAGGCAAATGTATTCTTAGCAAGCCACTGCTAACCAAACCAAACTCAACAGGTTCACTGGGGCTTCGTGCGCCTGCTCAAGAGGCGAGACAAAATGACCAATTCCTTCCTTGGCCTGGGGAGGGCATCCAAAAGCAGCTCGGTAACTCGGGCAGCGCCACGTAAACCACCACGCCGCAGACGGGAGCTCTACCTGGCTGAAACCTGCTCCTTCCCTCCTCTCCTTGTCACCTCCAGACTTTCAGGGAGATGTTCAAAGTGCAGATTTGCAAACCCACGTTCACCAAACAAGATGGCATCAACCTCCTTCACCAAGAGGAGGAAGCCTGGGGGAGAATGCGAGACCTTCATGGATGGCTGATGGGACTCAGGAGCCCCCAGAGCCATCAACACCCAACGCAAGTCTTTGTTTGGGTCTTGTGGGGTCCAAAAAGCGCAAGAGGAAGGTGGTGACCAGGCATGGCTGAGACCAAACTCACTCTCCAGATACGTCTACCCTACTAAATCCTTCATATATTGAGATGACCTCTCTATATTTTTAATTAAACAGGTTTCTGGTGTGTTTTGGATGGTTGCAGTGGAGCGAGTGGGTGCCCGAGTGCTCAGCTGGGCTGTACTGGGGGGAAAGCGATGGCCCGCGGGGGCTCCCAGAGGAGGCAGACCCAGGAAGCCTGCGCCCGAGGAGCGGGCAGAGCAGCGGGCAGGACACACGAGGAGGAAGAATAAGAAGAATGACTTCTTCCCTAATGGGGAGAAATAACCTCTCCCCCCAGCCAGTGAGAGCAAAGGAGAGAGAAGTAGAAAGGAAAGGCAAACTGCCCCGTTTTAGGGCAGAGCCGTACCTGAGATGCTTCCTGCTAGCGATCCAATTAATGGCAGCTTAATTAGACTGGAAGACAAGAGGAGCAGCAAGGGCTGTGGTCAGAGGGACTTCTGCCACCGCCACCTTTCCCACCCAGGATTTTTTCCCCCGTTAACACCGGTGCCAATTAGCCGGGCTCCGGCCTCCCGGAGAAGATGCGGGTCCCTCTGCAGACAGCTCAGAAACAGCTTGCGAAGCACCACGCTCCCCTGAAGATTTTGCACCTGCTGCAAGATGAAGATAAATTCAAAGCCACCGGTGTAAGCGCTCTGCAAACAGCCCCTCCAAATGCACCGTGTCTCCTTTGAAATATCATTTCCTCACGCAGCTAATTATTCACTGCTTTGTACACTTTTCCTTTGCCCACCTAAAGGACAAGGGGGGGGAAAACCCAATAAAACTCCGAGCTCGTTTCTTTTTAATATCGGCAGTGTTGCCTAAATTTAGGAGAGGGGGGGAGATATGTTCAAAATACATATGGATTTACGAGCAACACAAATATCCCGCGCTCTTGGTAATATGATGTTTCTAAATCAGGCTCATAAATACATGCTCGGGAGATTAGTCTATAAAAAAAAATAAACTTTAATTACCCCATCTTTATCAGCACACAGCCCATGGTGTTAGCCATATGTGGGTGTTAAACATCAAGTGCTTTGCAATCTTCCCCACCACCCACCCCACCACCCCCCCCGGAGATAATAGCATGATACAGAATGTTTGGCGGCTACTCGGATATTAAAATGCATTTCTACCACCCGAGGAAGACGGGGCTGAGGAAAGCGAGCGGGAGAACGGCGAGTGCCTGAACTGCTTAGCAACGCCGCCGTGCCGTGCCGCATGCACAAGTGCCCGGTGCGGGCTGAGCAGCTCCCCCGGTCCCCGGTCCCCCCGGGGAGCAGTGAGCCCACCGCAGCCCGTCCCGCATCCCCACGCCGCTCCCAATGCGCGCCGCCGTCGCTGTTGGCATGTCAGAGGAGTTGGACGCTCCTAATGATCCTTCTTTATGTTCCAGCAGAGGCTCATTAATACGGTACAACAGCGTTTCCAGGAC